GGTTTAACTAAGTTCTAAAACACAAAAATGGAAGAAAAATATGACTGGATAACTGTTTGATCTTTAATAATTAATATTTAAATAAATAATAAATGTAGCATAATGTAGCATATTAAAACCGATTTTATGCTTTCCATCAAACGTCAGATAAATAAGACAAGTAGTGCATTTTGAGTGTCAGTTAATAAATGTATACTGTTATAATATCAAGTCATCATACTTTTTCTCCAAACCAATCAATACCCGGATTATCGATAAGTAAAAGAATGAGTAACTGAAGTCTTGAGCAAAAATTAATGAAGGTTAACATCAATACTACAACTTCATTCTTCTCTCTACTTTTTCTTCCTGATTTTTTAATTCTCACCATATTAAATAACTTTAACCAACTATTTTTCCGTAGTTTTCTCCGTTTAGTTCAGATTAATCAATTTGCCTAGTGAGGACACTTCAGCATTATAAAAATAATATAACTGATCCACTTTTGTATGCAGTTTTACGCCAGTACATTCAATTATTGAGTCAATTATTTAGTCGACTTATTTATTTATCATTGTCAGAATGTTTGTCACCACTATACTTTGTGTTGTGTAAAAGCTTTTTAAGTCAACCATACTAATCTCTAAAATTACAAACTAATTACAGCAGTCACATTCTGTGGAGAAATGACTAAGTTAAGAGAATAGGAATCATGAATTCTGAACATAATGATTGCATTGCAGTATGTTTCAGATAGAAAAGATAAAGAAGTCCAGTTTAATTGAGGATGAAGTATAGGTATGTTGTAAAGTTACGAAATGAAAGAAGGCACTAATTCAGTCCTTCATGATCTGCAATAGCTGATAACAGGATACATCAAACGATGAGTTAATGAAAGTGTGTATCATGTAAATGAAACCATAAAAACAAACCACCAAAATTTTCTGACTAATGAAGAAAAAGACCAACCCCACTGTAACAGAGAATTAGACAAACTTTATCTCCAGTGAACCTTATTCTTTCATTATAATCAGTTATGTGATGTGTACAATAATTTTATGTTTACAAACACCAGTAACGCAAATATAACAAGGATAGAAATAATAATAATAACAGTAGTAGTATTAGTAGCGGTTCTGTTTTTATCTCTATTCGCACAGTAAATTTTGGTCGGAAACTTTCACCAAAATTGAAAACAGTTTAAAATTTAGAACAGTATTACACATCTCAAGTAAAAAAGATGAACTTTACATACAATAAATTACTTTGATTAAATATTTTTATTTATTTATTTAAGTGCTCTGGCGCGAGACTGGTAGGTCTTGGGTCCGAATCTCGCGAGGCGAGGTCGTGGATGCGCACTGCTGAGGAGTCACGCAATAGGGAGAAACGGCCGTCCAGTGTTTTCACGTTTTCCTTGGTGATCTAGCTTCAATTGACTCACGCTTGCAACTATTAAAAACCACAGTGCCAAAACGTTTTAAAGATAACTGAGTAGCTTTACAGCAAAATTTTCTGTTCTAAAAATGGATCATTTCATGACTCATTATATAAATAGAAAAGCTCATTTGTAATCACTAAATAAATTGGTATCGTTTTGTGATAAACGATTACTGAACTCGATGTCAGTTTTCATCACGAGCTGAGATCTAATAGGAAACCATTTACAAAAATCATGAAACACTAGGTAATCGTCTTATTGATACTTGGAACTCCTACCTTATGTATACCCAGTAACTTACCAATAATGGAAATCAGAACCCTTGCTTATGATGATGAGTGTGCTAGCTTTAGATCATTTAGTTGAAATTAAATGATCCATATTTTTAGTTTAAGTAAGGTTAATTAATTTAGCTATCTAAAATACTTCATCTATGAAACATAAGGTGCCTAAATGTGACTGTTAATCGTTTTTACTGAATCTTCTCTGTGAATATGTAAAAAAACTTGTGGAAAGCATTTTTGATAGCTAGTTCTTTTGCAACATATGTATGCAATCGACCAAACACACGTACAACATAGTTAATTTTTTCGTCTAATGATAATACAAAGGGAATTCTCAGATAAGCTAGACAAGAAGTATAAACAAGAATTAGTAACTGTAAACAGAGAATGTTGACAATCTAAATAGTGCAACAAGGACATAAATTTCATCGGAAGTATATGATTTATTAGTTTAATATATTTAAAATAATCCGATCAACTCCATCATGTGTGTTTGAAATCAGTTTGTACTCTTACATACAATCGACTCTGATAATACAGATTGTAGTTTAATATCCAGAGGGATTTATTTAGTGTTCTTATTATCTTTTTTATCCTAGTGTTGCCGTTTGTCTAGAATAACCTTTTGATTGCTCGCACAAGTCTATTGCATGATCAAATTACTCCAATGTAGCCCACTGTATTGATAAATCTGGTATTCTCATTATACTGTATTAGTTTATCAAATGAGTTAATTATTTTAAACGTTGATCAAAAAGTGAGTGGCTTGTAGAAATTCAAAACATTAATTGTTACAAAATTTATAACTCTTCAGTTATGCGTAATGGAGAATTATGATTAATATCAGAACAGGTATTTTTGAAGATTGTGGTAATTTTAGCAGTTGAATTTATGAGTCGATCTAAGCTAGACCACCAATGAAAACCTAGAAGTACTGGACGGCCATTTCGTCATAGTATATATATAAGTTCAGGATAGAGAGGAAGATAAAGGGTAAATATATCCGTGTTACTGTGAATGACTCTGAGCTATATAACACAGTGTCCAGACGCTAATGGCGGCTCTCATGTCGACCCCAACCACGTAGCTTGAACTTACCAAACAGACTCAGTCCACTTGTTAATGACTTATTGGACTGATAACACGTATTAGTTTGGCTGCCAATAGCTTTCTTCCAACCAACTTCCATACTAGATAACATTGTTCATCAAGACTGGCGATGCTTGAGCATATGTAATAGATGTCCGAACCACCTCAGTTGGTAAAGATTCGTAGACCCATCAACTAATTTGTCCCTTTCGCTTAGTATCTTATACTTAACCTCAACATTACTCACTTGGTAGCTCCATGAAATGTGAGCAATGTTTCGAAGATATTTGTCATAAAATGTCATAACCTGATTACATCTTCTACCTTCAATGACCACGTTTCATAGGCATAAAGTTATACTGAGCGAATTTATGCACAGTACTCACGCTATTTAGTTGACAGACGGACATCGTGTCTGCGCCTTAAGCTAAGCAATTTGGCAAAAGCCAACATAAATTTTTGAATCCGTACTGAGATTTTGTTAGATACCAACCAACCAATCAAGGTTTATGAAACTTTCAAAATGAGTGAAATGATATACATGCTCAACTACTTCACTATCTATCACTACTTCAGTTGTTGAAGCAGACTAGCCCTGAAGCTAAATTTTGCATTTAAGAGGAGAGAATCGCATCCCAAACATGCCTGTATTTTTGTTCAAGGCGTTAAGAAGGTTATATTTTTCTTAGCGTCTTCACCAGATAGGATGATATCATTTATTTATCTTGAGTCAACAAGCATATCTTATGGCAGGAGATAAATTCCAGAAAACTGAGGTAAAGAAAACGTTATTTCAAGGAGGATATGGATGAAAAAATTAAATAAAAATGGGGCTAGTGTGTAATTCTGGCGAAGGACAGTTTGGGTTGACAGCTCCAATGATAGTTTACCATAAGCTCTGGTTCGATTAGTAGTGTTTGGGGAGAGATTCTCCACAAGGTTTACGAAGTACTTTGGTACTCCTTTCAACGACAAACATTGCCACGGAACCTCTCAGTTAACGCGTTCGAATACTATTTTAGGGCCAAAAAGCACAACTACAGTTACGCGTCGATAAATATTCCTGTGCTCTAAAACCAGATGAATCGTTGAACAGCACTTTGACGCTTGCTCCTAGAATCAACGTGGTTTTCTCGGAGTTGTTCTTCGGAGCAGCTTATAAACGTTAGATTGTTATGGAGGCTAATACTTTAAATACTATATTAGTCAAACTGATTCCGAGACAGCATAAATTAATTGCATGAGATTCTATCGCTTTAGCTAGTGGTGTCTATTATCCGATTTGGCTTCGGGTTTGAACATTGACAGCTCCGACAAACAGCTTGGAGTGTGGTTTTAGGGGACCTAGAATCGGATTTCATGAACTCTAGTAGTTTAAACTGGAAGAATGTATAGGGTAATTCGAAGGCAGAAGATGATACTATACTGATAGTATCATCAACTATTTGTTAATGGGATTAGATTGTGGACGAGGTGATCACACGTGCTATCGTAGGCATAAGAGCGCTTTCTACTTCCTGGTTATCCACAACATAAAAGAATAGTTTTTATTGGAATTCAAAGAAAAAGAAATTGATTAGTAGTGGTCTTAGCGGGATGAGAGTGTGATCTCAGATCCAAAGGAGTAGATTACCTTTTTCCGGGTGGTTTTAGGTAAGTTACCTCCGCACTTTTAAGACCTTATAGCTGAAGGTGAAAACCCGTGGAGTAAGGTCAGGTGTGTTGTTTTTCGGGTTAACCTTTTTTAACCATTCCCGTCATTATGAGATGGCAGGGTTGTTGAAGAGTCTGATTATCTGAGGGGAACATCTTACTACAACCACACTTCATAACACTTGGCTTTATGACTTTTAATACTACTGCTTTCTAACCAACCTAATCGGGATGGTAGGACTGAAAGGAAAGAATATTTCAGCCAATATAACTCGACTAGGTTGTCACAAAAAGTAAACGCGACCGCCATGTTCTAGTAGCAGTCGAAATCGAGAGCATAAAGCACAATATATGTGTTAGAACAGTTGTTTATTTATAAGTAATAGAGAAAAATTCATATTTTAGGCGTAAGATAATGAGTGACATTACCCACTATGAAAAGAAAAGCTTTAATATTGAATGTTCAACTCAGATATCTCAACACTGCCCAAAGATTTAATATTTTTATTATCTTTAATCAGCTATCAGAAAATTTTCAAATAAGCAACATGATCTATATTCAGAGTTTTATGATTACTGACAGTTGATTGACTTATTTAAATTTATAATGAAAAACAATCTTGGATTTAATTTTTCTTAAAAAAACAAAATATTTTTTGGGATTATGTTCCACATATACTTATCCTGAAATATATAAGAACAATTATTTATTGACATATGTACCGTGTGTACACGTGTACAACCTGCGTGTAAATATGTAAGAGAATACAAATGACGCAAGTATTACTTAATTTAGCAACTGGATTATAAATCCCGTTAGTGTATATTAAAAAATAAGAAGAAGACCAACCTAACATTCATGCATACAAACACTACAGTAAGTTCTCAATATATATTGTGTAACATTACATAATATGTAATAACCATTTCCTTTGCTTCTGATTTATAAAACATAACATCTGGATAAACCAAAACTAGTTAGTGAGTATGGATGTACGAGTACATTTCAATCGGAAAAGCTTAGAAATCATTATCGTCAGCATAATTCCATATTTTCATACTTCATGAGGCAGAACACAGCAGGGATTCTGTTCTTCAAATATCATATATTCATGTGTAAAACTTGTTTGTTTTAAAAAAAAAAATTAATCCACAGACTTTGAATGACTGTTTACAGATTATGCTTGTTTTGTCGATAGTTATGATAAATCATTAAATTATAATGTTTATCGCTCCTGCAGAACCTTATTTTCATGTGTATGCATATTTAAAAGCTGTCAATTCTTTTAATTTCACTCTCTCTCTTCAACGTAGAAGTTAATCAAGAGTGTGGGAGGGGTAGCGTATAGGGGATTATTTATAAAACATTTAATGGTGAGATAAACAACAGACAATAGTACATGTGTCTGTAACCATCTTGAAAGATACATCAAATCAGGATAGGATGCATTTGAAACACAACTATTGATTGTATAAGAATAGAATATTTCTCGGCGAAATATGCAGAAAGGAATTAATTAGATAATATATGCACTAATATATTTGTAATGAGTGATTCTGAATAACGTCAAAGATGGTTTATATCAGACGGTTGACTTTTTGTGTTTTAATTTATATAGGACATATTAGTAATCAAGTGAATTTTCCTGCTCCTTCGATTAATGTGTACACATAAGCTTCACGTTAGGTGTAGTATTCTTGATATAATGAAACGAGAAATGATGATAGTATTTAGTATCATTTTACTGAACCAACAATCTGAGGGTGTCTGCAAAAATAAACGGTTGTGGAGATAACTGACTGAATCTTTCAAAACATAGAATAATGACGCGTATTAAAATGACGTGACAGTTTGATGCATGGTAGATTGGAAATCAAGTCCATTATTATAGATATATCTAAATGAAGTCACCTTTGTTTCTCGTTTTATTCAATAAATTTATAACCTATGTCGCCCATTAACATAATTTTGAAGAGTAGATTCCTTCCCATACTACCAATTTTAATGGAATTTTCATGGTACTTAAGTACGTAGTTCTCAGAATTAGACAATGTAATCACATTTGAGATATTCTGAGACTTTTGTAACTCTTTATTTTAAAAGAAACTAACAATAAGATCAGTAAGTGTTCTTGATTGGAGTAGAAATAATGAAGTTGGTTTGAATTCAGTAACTATTTAATTATCATTGCTCATTTTCAAAGGATTCAATCTCAATGTCACGTCTCACATTCGCTAGTTGACCGATATGGATGCTGAACTCTGAAAATAACAAACTAAGTCAAGGCAAATGTAACTGTTAATGCCAAACGTGTATGAGGCTAAAATATACGATTACCTGCATAGTATATTCAAATATATGACAACGTACAAATACACATGGAAGTTATATTACTGAAGTCATGCTGTATTACTTGACACCAGAGAGTTAGATCAACAATCAGGAATTGATAATTTCAGCCATTATTTTCTGATGAAAGTTGACACTCTCACTTCAATTACCTAGATCTCTTGTGTAAGAAATTATTTCATAAATGTAACTTCAATTTTTTTTGAGTAATCAAGGTTAAAACAAAGCATAAAGTAGTTAAACGTATTATCTATACGTTAATATGTAATAAGAGGTAAACAAACGCGATAACGAGTGGAAACAATACAAGATGCATATATCATACCTATACAAGATTTTGCGCGTTTGGTATATATATATATATATATATATATATATATATATATATATATCCTAGAAAAATATCTTACAGTTACCAAAAACTAGGACATTCAGTGAAATATGAGTAATTACATAAGAACAAAAGCACCAAGTGGAAAATTCGGTTGACAGATATTTTTACTTCTAAATCATTTATATAAACAAAATGTCGATGAGTAAGTGATGAAATGATTGAAAATAGTGGTGGCTATGTTATTAAGATAACACTGCAATATCTAATACTTTTGAGACTTGATTTTTAGATAGAGTGAAAACTCGAAGAAATTCTTGAAAGCTCATCACTGAAAGCTTAAAAGCCTTGTTGGATAAATGATGTACACTTATTATGAACAATATCAGATAGGATGGATAGCTCAATCAAAGGAATAGGGAATATAAACAAATTGGACTTATTTTATCGTGAGGCACATATGCATCAGTGTGAGTTTTCACTAAATAATTGATTGAATGAAGGAATAATTAATCAATTTAGGTTGAAACATGAAAATACTTAACAAAATTTATGAACTCTGTGGACGATCAATGACAGGTTAGGATCTGTGAAAACAAATTTGCTAGTTGAGTTTCATGCATAAAATCTCTAAAGACGAAAGAATCGATAATTTGAACGAACTCATTTAATAAACTAATGGTATATATATATATATATATATATATATATATATATATATAAATTGGTAGATAAGTATGGATTTTGTTTATCACCTTCGGAAATACACACATAGGGGTTATTTTCTTAATAATCACGGAGTAATAATTGTAAAATTAGCGATTTTCTTCAGAAGTAATTTAGCATAAAACGCTTGAATTATCTTTATCAAGAACCCTCATGAATCAAATTAATCAGCTGCTATACTTAAAGCAAATTAAAAGCGTAAGTCATTCATAGATCTGTTGGTCATCTCTTAGTTTAGAGAGTGATCGTTTCCAACTGTGTTCTTTTTGTAAACACACAAATGTAGACAATATTGAATCTGGTATGAAAGTTTAACTCTATTTTGGTGTCACAGCTCACGCCAACATTGAGAATGAGTGAGGAAGAGAAAAACAAGTAAAGTGTAAATCCAAAAAGTCAGAATGACAATAACATAAATGTAGTAGGAAATTGAATGGCAAAGATATTTCACGATGAATGATTAACATTGTGAATGGAAAGGTGTGGGAATAATACGTGATCTAAGTTTTACAGCACCATAGGTAATGAGTGAATCTGTACCTCTGGAACAGATTCCAAGCATTATTAACTAATGTATCCAAGCATACGTTATGATTTTCACTCTGATCTCACCCAGAACCTCTGCATCTTTTCAGACAACATAAATGAATAGATAATAACTATACAGGCTGATACGAAGTCTGATCAAACTTAAGGTTTTCCAAACTTTGTTATACATTATCTATCACACCGAACTGAGGTCACTGGTGGTTAGGCATGACTAAAAATCTTTAACCATTTAATTCAAAGAAATCTCAACTACTTAACTGCTGTAACTGCCATCGTCTAGTAGATCGAAAAAAGTTGATAGATGATTTATCACTTGATAAGATCACGGTGAATGAATCTTATAAGAGATAATTTTTATGTGTGCAAAGTTATTTTTAAGTCCCTTCTTTTATTGTGTCATATTTATCATATAGTCAAGGTTTTAAAAGTGGATTTGGGATAATCATATCTATTGCTGAAATATTTTCAGAGGTGTAATTTGAATCAAATGCACCAGGTTAGTAGTAGTTGCAGGACGTTTAAAAGGTTGATTCGGTATTTTTGCAATTAAAGTTATTAATAGCTCAGGAATCAACAAAATTTGAGAATGTTTAAGGATGGACTATTTAGATAGCTTTAGCCTTGGCTATGAATGGAGTTCAAGAAGTATATTTATTTAGCATTTACCAGCTGAACATACAAGTACAACCCAGTAAGTCTACGATTTTTCGCTTAGACTCAAACACTGGATCTCTTACCTCAGATGCCAATTCCTTAACCGTTTAGGTGCTAAGTTATGATAAATACACTGTTGAGCAGGTAATATTTATTATTAAAGGTTGGCTAATACTTTCGAGACTGGGTCAACGGGTTTTGTCAGTAAACAGCCTTAAAATATTAAATGGTCTGTGAGGTCTAAAATTGTAAAAAAATTGATGATTGTCGATTATCAAATTTTAATACCTTTCAATAGTATGTCTTTTCATCAGCCTGTTTATAAAAAAAAGAAATTCAAAGATTTCACACTCATTTATAATTTTCAATTCACTTAGTATTGTTTGTTTGAATCTTCCCATTGACGTTTTTGGATTGCAACTGGTCAGTCACTAATTGGCATATGTGCATACTATGCGTTCGAGTCCCAGAGTGAACATCAACTCTGAGATGCGGGTACATCCAGCTGAAGAGCCCCAAATAGGACGAAACGCGCGTCCTGGATTCCACTATCCATCTTTACTTACCATTTATAACTTTGTTTGAAAATAAAGAGAGATACTATGTTGTGATAATTCAGCATTTCAAAATTTACTCGTTGGACTTCAGAAAAGAATTTCATCATGAAGTGATGTCTACTGAAAAACTATAGGAAACCTGTTGGAACTGGAAAAGCATTACAATTCAGCTCAAAACTGTCCAGTAGTATTTATATAAAACTACAGAAAAACACGATTCAGTCCCTAGGTCAGAAACCATTAATACAATACAATATACCTATCACTAGTAAATCCAAAAGTAATCCAAACTTTATTTCAAATCTATTCATCATAAATCAGTTTTGTTTAACAACTTTACATCATCATCAATAGCGTCGTTTGTGCAAATACGATCAAGCCTGTTAAAAAGGTACCTTACCAAACCACGTTTGTATTGCACAGGGCAATAACTATAGTAACTAAGGTATTGACCCGTCCACGTCGGTTTTCGAAAAATGGATTGTTCGATTGAGCCATCTTCTCGTCTGCTCAGGAGTATTGATCGTATTTGCACAAACGACGCTATTGATGATGATGTAAAGTTGTTAAACAAGACATTAATGGGGAATGGTTATCCACCTAAATTTATCAATAGATGGAAAGTTCATGGCACAGTGAGACCTACTGTAGCCTTGGTGGAGAAAAAGCCTATCTACATCACCTTACCATTTAGAGGTGATGCAAATGGCCTTTTATTGAAATAAATCAGTTTGTTGACCAATGTTATTCTTATACAGCATAATTATTTCACAACCATACAAATATACAAAGATTTACATCGTAACATCACTCAATCGTAGACGTAACTCATAAGTGACATAATATAATTCTGGATAAATAATCCAATTGTATACATCATTAATATTATTATTATTTATAAATTAAATAGATTACAGGTGTAAACATTTGCACATATTAACTACAACGAAAATAAATAGAATAACGCAAATCGCATGTATGTGTGTGTATTTGTGTAGTATATGTGTACTGTTGAAATGTAAGCACCATAATAAGGATAAAAATGCGCGCACACAAACAAAAATATTTTTAAAAAAAAGCAAGAATCAAAATACAAATTGTAGAATAGGAAGTATTGGAAAAATTTATAGAGTATCTAATAGGATTAATTTTTGTAAGGAATTTGATGCAGTATAGATCCTAATAGAATATTGAAAATAAGAAAAAATATAAACGAAAAACGATTGGATGAACACAATGATAATCACTGAAGGTAGATTTATTCATATCGATAGGGGTGGAAAGTAACATTGGTATCATTACTAGTGATATTAATGATTTGGGTGGAAAGGTAGGTCAATAAACACCTGTTTGTTTTAAATAATAACTCTACAGGTAGAGGTATTAGGTATTTAATTGATTTGATTTTAATAGGTGAACATGGAGCAAAGAATTGTGGATAATTAAATTTCTAAAGAATATTCAGGTATCTGTTGTTCAGATATTCTTGTTTTCCATTATTATTAGAACCAATTTATATAGATGAGTGAATGAGTATTGATTTAAACATAGCAATTTAAACATAACAATACACATCTACGCCCCACCTAACGATGTGCGTT